GCAGAGAGGCATTTGGTTATTTCGCTGCTAGAGATGTTGATGAAGCAATGAGAATGGAACAAGCACAGTCTAGGATTAGAAATGGTCCAGGTGTGGCTGTGGAGTCCTCCATAAGATGCCATAGGCATCCTGCAGAGACTGTCTCCTGCTTCCTTGCAGTAGTGCTGCTGTGGCATCTCCCCACTAGCCCCTGTGAAGCCATAAGAAAGCGCTGTGCCATCAGTGCAGGGGCTGCTGAGAGGGAGCTGGCACCCATTGGCTGTACAGCCAAAGGGAAGGGTGGTCAGCTCTGGGAAGAGGAGCTGTGCACATGCAAAAGTGTGGAAAATGGGCTCCCCTGAGGCTATCTCATTAGCTGCGGGGAGCCTCACGTCAACTAACTGGTTCCCTCCAGGTTTTCCAGTAAGACTAGAAGAATTGGACTAACACTGCTTTCTGCAGATAGAGCAACTGGGTTTTGTTAAAGAAGATTGCAGGGGTTGCCCTGAGGATGCTCTGACCTCCGTGTCTCAGCTCAAAGCCCTCTGTGAAAGGTCCTTAGACCCCTTCCTGCTCATGTTTTCTGTTCTCATGACTGGTCTCATGCTGTCCAGCATTTTGGCTGACTCTTGCTCCCTGAAGACTTAAGCTTGGGCACCCATCCCGCTCTGCTTTTTCCCAAGGTCTCCTGTGAGGAGTCAGTCTGTCTAATAGCATCTGCCCTCTCAGGGGGTCTGAGAAACTCCAGACTGACTTTTGCCAGTTAATCATCTGCTCCTTTGAACACTTTCTCCTTATTAGACATTTTCAGAGAAAACATATGACCTGGAGTGCGAATGCTTCAGGAGGCATGGGTTCGCCCTGGATCTTTGTGCTCAGACCAACCTGTTCCTTTACCCAGCAGCTGTGGACAATGATGTCTCCTTCCACTGAGACCCACAGAGATGGAGCCCAGCTCTCCTGTTGGCTCAGCTGCAAGTGGTGGTGAGAGAACAAGACTTTGATACTCCTTAGTGAATGCTTTCTGGAATGTAGGTATTTTTAAAAAAGCCCCAAGAAGAAAACAGTCCCCAAAAAGGCCCCAACCGGAACCTCAGTGAAATTCAAAAGAGGATGCTTTGGTGCTTTCCTTCCATGGAGAAAGAAGAAGCATTTTCTTCAGGTTTGTATGACTCATCATGCCTGTCTAAAAGACACTGGGCTTTTTGGAGGCAGTTTGAGGTGAGCTCAGAACTGGAGTTGAAATCAAATTCACCTCTAGAGAAACATTGTGCTTCAGGAGGGGCAGCAGCCAGTTCTCACTGGGGGCCTGCCTAAAGCCCCCCCTCTCTGGGGTAACCGTGGCAATGTTTTCTCCTTGCAGCTATTGACCCTCTGCTCCGGTCTGCATGTTCAGACAGAGGAGAGAGCGTGCATGCTTCATGCCAGGCTGACTTGTCTCTCCCTGGCAGCTCCATTGGGAGGAGCATGATCCCTGAGGTCTTAGTATCCTACTGCTGTTCATTTCAGTGCCCAGACACGTATTCAGTATTTTCACTTCCTGTGCAAGCCTGAAACCAGCACGAGCACTATGGGCACGTCCTAAACAGTCTCTGCTCCCTCAGCAAGGGACAGAAGGCCAGCAAGGTGGCGGACCTCTGTTGACCCATGCCAATGCCTTGTGTGAGGTCAACAGAAACTAGTCCAATATGTTGGCAGGAGGCCTTAGGGGTGAGAGCTGCCACATCCAGCCTAACCTCACGAATGTTATACAAAATTCATCTGAGAGGCAAATGAAGCCTCTCCAGCATTCCTGACCAAGAACTGTGACCCAGAGAAATAGGCTTGGTAAAACATGTTCAAACAGGCACAAAGCACTGTGAGAGTGATGAATGAAAGGGCAGGAACTCACTGCTGCTCTGCCTGGAACATAATCGGATTGAAAAGCTGTATGTATGTGGCTCATGAGAAATATATGTAGAGCTGGGCTGATTTAAGGGTATTTAGCTCTGAGCAAGCGTCACCCTGTCCGGCTGTGGCAAACACCAGGTGCATCAAAGGTGGTGGTTAAAGCCCTCTGAGGGAAGCGATTATGAAATGAGCTGACCCGGATGCAGATTTCTTTGCCCTTGAGCTGACGGTGAAGGCTTAAGCAGGAGTTCTATATCCCTTCCAGTCTTGCTTCTATTTAATCCTTGCTAATGCAGCTTGGAAAGCACTGTGACCATTTGTCCAGCCCTCCTCTGGGCTCCTGGATTCGGGACATGGTGACTTCTGCAAGGTTTGGGTGAGTTGCAGGTTCATTGAACCACAGAATGGTTTGTGTTGGAAAGGACCATAAAACTCATCCAGTTCCAACCCCCTGCCATAGGCAGGGACACCTTCTGCTAGACCAGGTTGCTCAAAGCCCTAATTAAAAGAAGATTTTCTGTTCTGTCTCAATCTTCTGTTTGATTTATCTTCCCCACCATTTTTTTCTGTCTCTAAGGAGGGACGACAGTAAAGCAATAGTCTTAAAAGCCAGTTCTGACCTTGTAGCATCTTCATTCTCTTCCCCTTCTTGCTTTCTCTTTTTAATATCTGTTGTTTGGATGAAATATCATAAACGTATCCTTTAAGCATGGATCTGGAGGCTCTGAACTGTTTTACCTTTAGATAAACCTAAATAGATGTTAGGTTCGGCTGTTCCCATGCACAAGCCAGTATCTGCAAATCTCAGCAGTGGTGTTCAGTACTTCTGAAAATAAAGCTAGCCCTTTCAGATGAAGTCTCCACTTGGTCATGTAACTCTGGTCAACACTGCTCTGTACACTGGAAAACCATTAATCTAAACAATAATTTCTGCCTGTTACTGAATGATGCATAGGGTGCTGTGAACCAGACTCTTCTTCATTGCTTCACAGTAAGGTACAGACAAATACAGACCTCTGGAAAATGTGTTTGCTGGCAGGGAAGCTCTGTGCGGCATATGTCTGTGAAGTCTTGAAGAGCAGGGCTGAGGGATGGAGATGCTATGTCCCAGAGGTGTGTAGATGAGAAATTCCTGACTGCTCAGGAACTGGGCTTCTATATCTGTTTTATTTTCCATTTTACCCATCTGTGAATGGGATTTGGCACCAGCTAGTTTTTCAGCTATCCCGTACCTTCGCATTCATCTGGATAGGCTGTTTTTTTTTTGTCTGGCTCTGTAAGCTACTTTTGTCTGTGCTATTGCAGACTGGGAGCCTCCTCCTGTGTGCTTGGTCCAGCTGTTCCTTTTCTAGCCCTTCCTGCCCCCCTTTCTGTGAATGAATGCAACCTTCTAGAAGCAGGGGAGACATGGGGGCTTCTTCTAAGCTTGTTTTATCATGCTTGTGGTAGTCATCTTTGTGCTAGAAAGCCCTTCACCTGTTTCATCACTTTTTTCCCCCAAAGTATTTGGTAGACTAGTGTTAGCCTACCAAAAGTTAGGTCCATCAAAGTACCTACTGCAGCCCCAATGATGAATAGTTGGGGCAGTGGGTGGTAAATAAATATATCCAAGACCCCTGCGCAAGATCTACTGCTCACCTGTTGCAGAGGTGTGATGGACTAAATCCTGCAGAACTAGCACAATGCAGAAAGGTGGGAGAAGAAATGGAGGTAAAAGTCCAGGAAAACCTGGAGCAGAACAGTTACATGGCATGAGTCAAGATACTTGTTTGTCAATATGCTCTTGAGAGAAAATGCAGTCATTGGAGGGCTAGCCTTGGAAGAATGTGTAGATTGTGATTCCATACATCTCTGCTTAAAGAGCCTTAACTGTGTGTTCCTGTGAATTATGTGTCTCCTGTACTTTGAATTGCAGTTTGAAGCTGACGCTTACCCTAAGGTATTTGGTGGAAGTGCATAAACATTATTATTGTCCTGGGGGGCAGAATGTTCTATCTGGCTTCTCTGGTTTAGAGTATTTTTGTAAGCTAAAGCCTTCGCCAATGTGAGCCATGCAGTGACTTGCTATGCTGTAACAATTGGCTGCCTCAGACATAGGGCATGAATATAAAGGCCACTGAAGAATTTATAGAGTTAATGACTTATTTCATCTGTCACTTCAGACAGAAGAATTACGGGCTCTGTCTTGCCCAGCTGGGAGGAAACTTAATGCTGACTGCAGACAGTTTCTGCGCTACAGTAATTGCTGGTGTGTGCTTTATCTTGGAGATTGGATTTGTCCCCACCTGTTCAGAAAACTAATTTCAACCTTAGTCCTGCAGCCTTTATCTCCTCTGAGAAACTGGACCTTTACTGTGTCAAACTGCTTGTTACAAGTAGGAAGCAGTGGGAGGGTGCTGGTGGCACTGGTCCTGGGTGGCACTGGTTTCATCTGTCCAACTCTCCCCCCAGATACTCCCCTGCTAGCCTGGGGGACCACCCTGTGCCACCTTCCCACTTCATGGTCATGGGAGCGGGTTTGAGTTGTGTGGTATGGTCATAAGAACAGGTTGAGCCATTGTCCTGATCTAGATGGTGGTGGTTAGGTGTGAGCTGCCCAGCAGGGACCCACAGACAACACTTGCCATACATTTGCATACCTTATTATCCTTTTCCCCATTTTTGATCAGCCTTGTTATAGCCCTTGCACTTCCCCTTCTCCGTCCCAGGCTCCTCCTAAAGAAACAGCCTGCCTCACTTATGGTTTTCCCATGGGTGCCAGTTTTGCAACATACATGCTCAAATTTGCTATTACTGATACTATTCCCTAGGCATTTTTAACCCCAACTGGTATTACTAAGATGGTTGCCATGTGCTGCTGGCCTTGCAGCAGGTAAGCCTGTTAAAGATGTGGGGGGTTGAGTGCTCTGACATCACTGCTTAATATTGAGATGCTTGGGTTTGAAGACAGAGATGTGATCTCTTTGAAAGCATTCTTGAGTTGGCCCATGTCTGGTCTGTGCATCTTGGGGGTGACAGAGTTAAATGAACACTTTGATTCCGACCTGACAGCCCACCTGAAAGGATTTAATCTTTCTGCTGCTGTTTTTTCACTGAAAGGTAGATAAGCTTTGTTTATTTTGACTCCACAGGCAGAAGCACTTGTGTGGGATAATGATGTATCGGCTCATGCCCAGACTGTTGCTAAGGCCAAATATGAATTTTTGTTTGGCTTGGAAGAAGAGAAGCCTTCAGAAGTGGGTAGGTGCTGTTCATTACTTTTGTTTGAAAAAAATCCAAACCTCTTCTAAGCCATGCAGGAAAGTTTTACAGAAGCTGCTCAATGACCCACAGCTCACTGTGCTATGCTGCCCTTCACCCAGGCCACAGTGTAAGTACCAGACCAAAGGAGCCCACAAGTTTGGCCGCAGAAAGTCACAACAGTTCCCTGTCTTACACTCCCACCTTTCTCTTTGGCTCACCTGGCCACCTTGATGTGACAGTGGGGACTTGTGCTGGAGACACGGTGCAGGGAGTCCCAGCTCTTCTCTGCAGCAGAGTTGTTTCAGCCACACGTTCTGCAATTGCACGTGCTGAAACGGGGCTATCTCTATGTGGAGGTCCTTCCAGGAATGCCCTTTGTGGTCTGCATGCTGCTCTTCCTACAGCCAGAGGGGGATTAGTTTAATTTAGGTACTTGAGGTTGTACCTGAACTGCTCTGTCCTTTGTAGTTCGCAATTCAAGAAATCCAGGTGCAGTATCTAATGTTATTGCCTAAGGATCAGTCTTGTTTCTTGTTCTTTTCTTGTAAATACAGGACATTTTCTACCTTTTCGTAGCCCAAGCTTAGAAGAAAAGAAATGTAGCTAATAAAAAAAACGTATTTCTCTTGCCTCATTATAATTATCAACAGTCCCTGCCCTCTTTGCAAAAGTATTTCCTCAGGCTTTTCTCATTGCACCTTGATCCTTTCTAATTGCAAACTTTCTGGAATGTTACTTTTAATTAAAGAAGACTCCTTTCTTGCTGGAGAAGGGCAGCACTTTGTACAGAAACAAACTGTGTAGGCTCCTCCACTTCAGTAACGAAAGGAAAGAAAAACCCCCAAGAACCAAAAAAAGCAGAACTGATATCTGGAAAGTGAATAAACAGTTTCTCCTTGGGTTTTCTAAAGTTTGGTATTCCACTTTGGAAACCCTAATTGCAGACTGAAGGGGAAAAAAACCCAAACAAAATGTTCTCCTTTATGAATTTTAGACTTTTCTAAATTGCCACAAAATGTGCATCGAATTATTACATGAATCATGATGACCTCACTTCTTGTTTGGAAAGACATAGTGCGGGAGCACTGTCAGCAGGCATTAGTACATTTCCGGAGATTGGCATCAAATAAAGTATGCTGTGTCTGATAAATCCAAGTGAATCTGTTGTTATTACTAACCAAAGCAATTATCAAATGTGATGGGTATTCTGAGCTGACTGAGTACTGAGCCCTAAAATAAATGGTGACAAAGAATAAGCCAGATACCATGACCTGTGTGTGTGCTTTTCTGTATTTTTCCTGTGCTGCTTCTTGCCTTATATTTGAATCTCTTTCTGTTCCTTTATTAATCAGAAACTACCAGTAGGGGCTAACATTAGTGAAATGAGAGTGACTTCAAGGGTGAGTTTCCAAATATTTAACAGTGGTTAACATATAATGTTTGTGAATTGTACTGAAAACTGGGTGACATTGTGCCTGGCTTCATGCCATCACAGACAAATGTGTCCTCCTCCTAGTCCTCCTTCTTTTCCTCCTCCTCCAGGAAGATGTTTGACTGCAATAGATGAATGAGAGTGGTGCTACTTCTTCTATGTGTTTTCACTAAGTCAGCAGGTTTTAACGACTTATTAGCTGAAGATTAACAAGGATGGGGCGACTGAGGGCACAGTAACACAAGCCAAGGGCTCTGTAACTAAATCATGGCTTCTTTTGATTTGACATATGTCAAATATGTCATGACAAATGTTTAGGGGGCAAGTGGCTGTGCCTGAAAGTCTCTCTGTTCTTCTCTGTGTTAGATGGGAAAGGAAAAAGCACCACCAAAAATCCAAACAGACCTGCTACTTTCTAGAGTTGCCTTTGCGAGAAAGAAGATGTGCTTTTTGTGGGTCAAAGTATGAAGGATTTAAAGTAAACGAATGATGGAGGCAGGGGCAGGAGAAGTACTAGTGTTTAAACTTGATCAAAAGAACAGTTTGTCACTGTGGGCAGTAAAGCTGAACTTTAATTTCACCCATGCCTTGGCTGGCTTCAGAAATTGAGAGTGTAACATGTAAGGGGCTCAACGGCCTAATTAATTCTGCCTCCCAGTTTATCCTTTCCCTTTCAGCCACAGCCATATTTACTGATGCTCTGCTGGATGATGTTGAGAGTATAAATATTTTAATTTGATACTAAAATATTTGCATAGGACAAGCCAAAGGAGAAAGAATAATTAGGGGTGACTATAGCAAACATTTCTGTTTGCCTAGGTGGGAGATGGCAGACTTTGTTAATAAGCTGCCTTGCTGATTTTTACCTTCCAGGTTGAACCTTGTGGTTATTTTCACAGGTGAGAGGAGAAAAAAAAAGTTAGATGCCTGTAGAAGAGGTGTTTCATTGATGATATTTAAATGCTAATAAAGCTGCCGCATGAAAACCAACTCCTCCTCATTTCCCTCCTTTACTGCCCTCAGCCTGGTTTTACCTGGGATTTTTGATCCCTGATGTACTGCTGTGCACTTGTCTTTGCTGCCTGATGCCTTTTGTTTGGCTCTTCTCTCCCACCTGTTGCTAACGTTCTCCTGCCCTGGAGCAGAATCAGGTCCAGGCCCCGGGGACCCTCAGCTCATCATGAGAGGGCTGTGGGCCATACGTCACCCTGCAGAGACCCCTGCTCTTGGAGCTGCTCCCCCCCCTTCCCCTGCGGGGAGGATGGTCCACGTGCCGCCACGCGCCTGGCACTGCTTGTTCGCCTTCCTTGGCGAAACCCCAGCCTTCTGCCTTCCAGCAAAAGAAAATGTTTTTTAAAAACTGAATTTGGCTGGCTCGGACAAGGCGTCTTCTCAGCCTCCTTCGCATAAAGGGCGTTTGTTGTGTATGGAAACATACCCTCCTCTGGAGCTGGCTGTGGAAACAGTGGTCTCTATTGAGCAGTCTTATCTTTGGGCTTGGGCTCGCCACAGAGTGCTGATTTTTGTGACTTTGCAGTTAATATATTTAAATACCAAGAAGAAAAAAGTCCTGACAACATGACTTGGTCCTAAAAAAGTGCTTCCTTGGGGGAAAACATAGGGGGATACTACAAAATGATTGCTTAAATAAACATGAAAGCCAGGGACACTGTAATTCCTGTTATATAAGAAGGTAATTCCAAGACAGTGGTTAGGAAGAAAATAGCTTCTTAAGACTCAGGAACAGTCTTTTCTCTGATGCTTCTAGGAGAATAAAGCTTTCTCCCATCATGTGTAACAGGGGGGTTAATCTCATCCTTCACAAAAAAGCCCTGTACAAACAGTCCCTGGGTTGCTACGCAAGTCTGGTCTTTTCCAACAGCTGCTGGAAGAAGCTTGGTTTTGAGTTCCTGGTGAAACAAATAGCTTTTTGGAAAGCTTGCCACTTGCTGTTTTGTGTACAGTGAGGTGTCATGAGGCAGCTGAGCTCATTTAACAGCTTGCTTCTGCCAAAAGAGACAGTCCCAACCACACTCTGCTGTGGATTGTCTCATGCTAGTTCTTGTGCTCATCCACCTACTTAGCAAGCTCAAGCCAGAAAGACTGAGTCATGGCAACCCCGCAGACAATGCCAAAAAGCCCCAATTCGATGGAAAAAGGTTTACTTTCTCCTGGCAATGTCTTCTGAATCCCCTCTGCAAGGGTTCACACAGTGCCAGAGCTGGCACATGAAAGAAAATGAAATTCATACCTTAACCCATGCAGCATACCATGCCTGAATCTGAATCATGGAAACGATTGCTGTTGCTGTAGCTTCTTTAATTTGTTTCAGGAGCAAAGGAAGCACAGAATGGCTGGGGTTTTTTTTGTTGTTTTTTTTTTGTTTTTTTTTCTGTTCTTTTTTTTTTTTTTGTGCAAGCAAAGCCTTTTTGTGGCTGATTTAAACAGCAAAGAAAATTACCCCAGCAACTTTCTGTAAAATGGGTATCACTAACTTACTACATTGTCCTTTGCTTTTCTGTCTGCCTTCTCTGTGTCACTTTACTTGTGTCCAGCTCTGCTGCATCCGTTTTGCATTGCATGGAGGTGGAACCTTCCTGATCCTCACTGCCCATAGACCACATTCACTCACATGTTGCATCATTCTCACACTAGCCCAGATTCCTAACTGTAGTCTTGCTCAGTGCTTCAACTGCATCGCTCTCCATTTTGCTGCTCCACCCTTTGTTATGTTTTCATCTCTTGATCTTTCCGTCTCCAGGCAATCCTGAAAGTCCTGGCTCCCAGTCTGGTATCTTCTTCTGCAGCTCTGCTTCCTGAAGAGATGCAGCAAACTGCATTATCTAAGGGTTAAGACTGCCTGATTTTCACATTCATGTTGCTTGATTACAATGGACAGAACCTGTGAGGACAGGTACATCAGATACGTGTTTAAGAGTATGTCCTGCAACATCAAAGAGGCGTGACCAGCAGGTCGAGGGAGGTGATTCTGCCCTTCTGCTCTGGTGAGACCCCACCCGGAGCACTGTGTGCAGTTCTGGTGTCCTCCGCACAGGAAAGATGTTGGGGCAGGTCCAGAGGAGGCCAAAAAGATAATCAGAGAGATGGAGCACCTCTCTTATGAGGAACAGCTGGGAGGGTTGGGCTTATTCAGCCTGGAGAAGAGAGTGCTCTGAAGAGACCTTATAGCAACCTTCCAGTACCTAAAGGGTCCTACAAGAAAGCTGGACAGGGACTTTTTACAGGGCTGTGTAGTGACAGGACAAGGGTGAATGGCTTTAAACTGAGGGTCTATTTAGACTAGATATAAGGAAGTTCTTCACTGTGAGGGTAGTGAGGCACTGGCACAAGTTGTCCAGAGAAGTTGTGGCTGCCCCATCCCTAACAGTGTTCAAGGCCAGGCTGAACTGGGCTTTAAGCAACCTGGTCTAAGGTAGGTGTCCCTGCATGGGCAGAGGGTTTGGAAGCAGATAAGTTTAAGGTCCCATCTGACCCAAACCATTCTGTGATTCCATGATTTACCAGGGAAAGATGCAGTGCTGCAATCCGGAAAGCTCAGATGTGTGGTGCCCCCACGCACTTAATAAAATTCCATCATTCTCATTTGCATACTTGATTCTATTAGCTTTTTTCTGTTGTTGTTTCTAGTGTTCCTCTGCATTTTCTGTCATGCTGAAGACCCATGGGAGTTTTTAAATAGTAGTGTGTAATAAACACATTTTCTCACAGATATCACTGATGTTTGGTGTTGCCTGTTGGCAGTGATGCAGTGAGAAGGTTTGCTTGTAGAATTTAAGACTCCAGAGGTACTGTATTAAAAGGTACTTTTCTGGTTGAGTTTGTGCGCTCTCCAGCACCAGCACATAGACTGGCCTTGCTGGGAGCTCCTCTTTCACTCCAACACGGAGTAAGCTAGGTCATTTTGAACTACCACTTGGATGCTCTGAGCAGCAGCAAGCTCTTACAGTGCTGTCGGAAGAGTGCATCTGACTGTGCACATGGAAAAACTAATGCTGGTGAAATGGGACAGGTTGCAGTGTGTCCTGCATCTTGGCTTGCGTGAGGTGGAGGTGTCTTGCTGTGTCTTCCTTTGAATTTTTGAGTCCTGCTTCCAGGGCTGGGTGAAGCTGGGGCATGCTCTGGAGCCATCAGGTGTGGTGTGATGGGTACTTGTGTTTCCAGTTCCAAGCAAAGAAAAATTGAAGGGGGGTGAAGCATTATGCTAAGTCCCTTGCTCTGCAGGAGGAAATTGGATGTCTTGTGACCTTCACTTGAAAGCTGGATAGTTCAAGTTGCCCTAACCTACAGCTGCAGGGAAGAGATTACCACATCCTTGACTTGGTAAACAACATAGCTGTTTGAAGGCCAAGCGTTTAGTACAAATAATCGTTAAAACAAGGGATGTTTGTTTATTGTTTTTCAAAGGTGCAGAATCCAGCACGAAGAAGTTAGGAAATGCCAGAGTTAAGGCAGTAATTACCTCCCCATCTGTGTTCTGCCAGCTGAATCAAGAGTCGTGCTGACATAAGGGCAGAAATATCGGGGCCTGGTGATGCTGGAGCCATGTTGGTGGTGTCTGGCTGCTTCAGATGCTGTGAGCATACATGGGACAGGCTGGGCTCCCCTGAAGCTGGCAAGGCTCAGAAACACTTCCCCAGCAGCAGGAAGGCCCTTCCATTCAGCTGGGCAGACAGAATGAAGCACCCAGGTCAGCAGGCACAACAGGAGGACAGCTGACTTGGCTGGCTGTAGGTCAGAGCTGCATTTCTGTGTGTTGTCACTGAGGGCTCCTCATCTCCTTGGCTTCAGCCCCATCACTTGGTGAGACGGGCAGGACACCAACACAAGCCCTTCATTGTGCTGCAGCCTCAATTCATCTCTGCAGCTTTATGAAATAATACATGCATGTTATCCTGCTGCTGGAGATGGCTTGATAATGAACAGGGAGAAGGCATTTAATTAAGATTATATAGGTAGATGCATTTCTGGCCTGGTAATGCAGGGTACAGCAGGTATTCTTCTTGTTCGCAGTTCACCGCTTTAACAAGTGCCTTCTGCTCTAGACCCCTGCATTGTTTATTTAACTGTCCAGCTTCCTGAGGAAGAGAATCTCATTCACTGTGTGAACTTGCTGAGAAGTTACCATGCAATGTCCAGCCGCGCCTTTAGCAGCAAATACTCGGACCCTGGGAGATGCAGATGCCCTTCTGTGCCCTGTTTTTGTTTTAGCTGGGTGTATAACATGGTATCCATCTCCTGGGGTGCTTTGAGGACTGCTTAGCAAGCTTTCTCCTACCCTGGCTAATAGTTCCAGAACCATGAAATGCAGTAAGGGCCATCCTTTTCCGTGGGTGTGCCTAGTTTCTTTAGAGGCTGCTGCAAAGATCCAGAGTGTCTGAGATGTGTGAGTAGTAGTGTGGGGTTTTTTAAGGTGTTGTTGCTTGCTCAGAGTCTGCCAGTACATTTTTTATCTGATGAGATCTTTCTATTTGGGTTACTTTTGAGCTTTTAAAAAAGATTCTTTAAAAATACAATAGTTTAAATATATAACATTAAGTACAAGTGGATTCTGAGGGGCTGTGAAGTCTTTATAGATTCTGTAAGTGCCAAAGCAGCTGTGGGCTGCGTCAGTGCCCCAGAAGTTTGCACTTTGGCTGAAGGTTCTTTGGGAGCCCTTGAAGTAATTCTTGCTATCATGCTGTGTATATGCATTTAGAAAATCACCTGTTAGCCGCTTCCTCTCTAAAAACCAGAAATTTTTGGATTCTTTTGAGCTTTGGGCTTAAGACTTTTCCAAACATACATCTTAAACCAAAACTTGAAATTCTTGCAGCCATGTGGGGGTGGGCCTTTAAAGAAGAAAAGTGCATTAAATATAGTTAAGGCTCACCCACACTTTTACATCAGGATAAGGAGACCAGCTACTACTCTCTTTGTATTCCCTCCTGTTCCTGCTCATGCTAGCAGCTCTTTCACTACCCTTCTGCTTTCCAGGGTGATGACTCTTGGGACTGAGCTATCTCACTGACCATCTGTGGCCCATAGAGCAATTTGTAGTGGATAATCCCTCACACTAAACCCTTCCAGCACGTGCTGCCTGTTAGTTTTGGACCTTGTCCTTTTCTGAGCTCACTGTAGGCCTGTGAGATGCTGTGGCAAGGTGCCATCCTTCCCACATCTGGGGGAATGGTGCGGAGCTCCTTGGTGGGCTCTTAGTTCAGTGAGGTTGTGCCCCCAAACCCTGTTTACCACTGAGAAATAGTTAAAATCTTTGGGGGAAAAAATATGCAACCAAGTCATAGCATTGCTTACTTAAGGCTTTTCCATCAGGAACAGGGTTAGAAGGTTTGCAATTGTAGCACCGCCCCCCCCCCCCCCCAGCTCAAATACGTACACAGTGATCCAGGTATTATACATGCTGTTTTGCTCATTGCTTTCGTAATGGATAGGGTTTACATTCTTAACCTAGCAGCTGTTCTTACTCCATGTGTTTCAAGCTGTGACAACTCAGGCATCACATCACCACCTGATCCAAAGCACTGGGGCTTGACTAGCAGAGACAGTTGTGAGAAGTTCACCCAGTGTGGGCATGGATGTCCTGTGGCAGGCTGAAGATTCACTAACACAGCCCCTGCTTGCCCGTAGCATCCCAGAATTTATAAACTATGCAAGAGCAGTGCCAAGCAGTAGCTCTCTTATAACCCCTTTCAGTGTGCAGCAAGCCATGGATGCAGGGTTTCCTGGATGACACACTGCCCCCGGGTGCTTGCGGTGGGATTATTTTCTTCCCTGAACCGTTCAGTTTAATTTCTGGGTAACCCTGAGCCACTGGCTGCTGCACCACTGCCTGGCTGTTCAAGCACAGTAAGTGCAAGGCACACGCTGCCTGTACACACTGCTGGGTCTGTGTCACACTCCCCACTGATGGCCGCAGGGACCCCTGCTGGTCATCCTTTTTTTGGGGGGGGTGAGGGATCTCAGCCAACACAGTCACGTTTTCTGTGTAAATTCTGCCATATCTCTGGTACTCTCCACTCTCCCTGCCTGTTTAGTAAGGCAACAGAGCATTTAACCAGGGTTCTTTTCTATGCAGCTCTCCCCTCTGCTTCCCCCCACCCCCCCCACCCCCTGCCTGTGAAGGCAGCTTTCCTGTTTCCACCAACTTGGTGTTTTTACATAATGCCAGTGTAACTTTGAATGGATGATGGCCTAGCTCCACTTCCCTGGGCAAGCAAACTGCCCGAAAGCCTGGAGTGGCTGCAGGTTGCAGAAAGCCGTGCACCCAGTCCAGTGTGGATGTTTGCAGTCCAGTTACAAAAGCATGGTGCTTGCATTATGCTAATCCCCTGTCTCTGGCTAACGAAGGACCTCCGCTGGCCAGGCAGGACCTATCACAGCACAGAGAATGACATCATTTGGAGAAAGGGCTGCTGTGCACGGCCACCAGTAATTGTGCAGCATCCCTCCCCTCTCACAGGGGGAGGCCGCTCCATGTTGTACTGCATTATAAATTGGGATGGTTTTAGTTACTACAGAAGTTGTAACTTGAGGGGGTGCAGGACGAGGAGGCATGTGTGACCCCCCTGTCTGTCAGGCTGCAATAATGACATACTGCCATAAACCCTGCTATCTGATTGTTAAGCTCTGTCACCTAGAGACTCATTTCCCCTTAATGCACGCAGTGTTTTTACTTGCCCTAATTTGCCTGTTACAAATAATGGCAAGAAGTGCCGGTACCACGAAAGCATAACTGGTGTGACGCTGCATGCAGGCTCAGCTGTGTGCTGCTTGTGGTCGGCGCAAGGAGCTGCGGAGAAATAAAATGCAAGATGATGGGGCTGCTCGGTGAAACCTCCCACCTCTGTAATGCCGAAACCCCGCTCTCCGACACCAGCACGCGACTCTTGGCATCGCCATTCTACCCGTTTCATCGCTTACGGACGCAGTTACAATAAACGGCAGCTAAGCACAGACATCTTCCTGGCATACCGTCAGGCAGCCTTGCTGGAGGAAGTTTTTTTTCCCCTTGCAAGCTGCCAAGGTGGACTCCTTATAGCTCCTGCGATAGACTGAATGAGACTGCAGTTCCCCCATCAGTTTCATAATACTCAGAAAGCATCCATTTACATCATTGTGTGCAGTGCAGGGCAGCAGCTGCCAGGAAATTTGAAACTATTTTGATTCCAGTTGACTAGAACAGCAGCAATTGAATTAGCTGGTATCGCTATAGATAAACTGATGATCTGTGCATTTTATTTCTTTGACCAATGGGTAACTGCTGGAGCTACAGTAACCTCTGTGAGTAAGGAGACTGTTCAAGCAAATATCTCTAATTTCTCGAGCTAGCTAATATATATATATATACTGTATAGAGAGAGACACTCACACCATTCTTTTGTAAAATGTACCTGTAAACAAAATGTCTGTCTATGCTTGTAACTTGTGTTTTGCTTCCTAGAATTTCCTTTTATTATGCTGTAGACAAGCTTGTTTGACATGGTTATTTACCTATGAAATATCATATCTCTGCCTGATTTAAGTCATGAATTCTTTCAACGTCTAGTCATCAGAAAGACTGCCAATTGCTGTTAGGTTATATTTGCCCAGTCTCAGTTTTCTAGCCACTCACCCCATTTCTATTTTAGCTTTTTTTCTCTACATTTAATTTTCCTTTTCTTTCTTTTTTTCTTTTTCTTTTTTCTTTTTCTTTGGTGAAAGAAGCCACCTTCAATGCAAAGTAGAAATTGGTGTTACCTGAGAGTGTGTATCCTTTCTTTGTTTGTTTGGTGATGGGTATTTTTTTTCCCTGCTCATCTTCAGTGCGGTCCTTAAATTTTGTTGTTGCCTTTCTAGCCTTGTTTGTAATGCAGTCATATTGGGGGATGGGGTTGGACAGGATATGCCAGTAGCTGCAGCAAGACATGATGCTGTGGTGGTGGATGGGAATAAGGGAGGAGTTTCTCTTAAAGAGCTCCAGCTCCTCTGAGCTCTGGTACTTGAAATAGCGCTCTGAGAAAAGGGAAAGGCATTGCACTGTTCAGGAGTGGAGGGCAATTGGTGGTGGTTTACTGCAGGGAGTGGAGACCTCAGCAGTTGTGTGCATGGTTGTACCTAGGGTAGTGGGGGCAGACTTTGGTGCCATGTGTGATTTATTTTTAATCAGGTAGTGAATTAGGCAATGTTCCTGTAAGATGCTGTGAAGGCAAGAATCCCTCTGCCTTGTGCTTGCATGCAGCGAAATCAGCAGCTCTTCCAGAGTAGGGCTGCTGGTGCCTTGCTGTAGAACGGGCCTTAACTTTCTACTGTGAAAATGCTTTTCTCTTGCTCAGATGAAATTCAGTTTGCAAGTGTGGCAAAGGAGTACCTGTGTGCATGCTCCCTCGTCCTGCGTGTCTCTCTGTGCCCGTATATTCACCTATGTGCTCTGCACATGTATGTCGTCACCTGTATATGTGCCTGTGTGCTCTGCATGTGTACCTTTTCTGGAGTCTGCTGGGCTTGCAAGAGGGTAAAGTTTGCTTGGGATGAAGTTCAGAAGAAGTCAGAAACTTGCTAGATACTGCCTGCCATCATCATCAGTGGCTGTTGGTGGTGGAGGGGGACGTGCAGCAGTGTGCTTAGCGTTCACCACCAGAAAAAAGGCCACCTCTGTTTCCTTCATGTTAGTTCAGAAGCTAAGGTAGCAGTTAGCAGAGATGAGCTTGGCCCCTTGTCAGGGTTTGTGTGGTGCCTTGTCAGGGCTTGGCCTCCAGTGCACATTGGCTGCATCCCAGCCCATGGGGGCTGGGGAGCTATGCTCTGGGCTTCTTTCCAGCGAAGAGGGTTGTGTGGGTTGGAGGGAGGCGCGGGGGGTTCTCAGCTCCAGGGGCACTATGTGTTGCTTTCCTCTGGGATACGTACAGAGCATTCAGCCCAGGCAGTGGCATGGCCAAGTGCTGCCCTGCTTGGGGGCATGCAGCGATCCCAACTGGAGCTCATCCTGCTTGCAGGTCTGCAAGCTGAGAGTTGCAGTAGATGGAGCTGTGTTCATCAAGAAGGGTTCACATTGACTTCTGTAGTGACAAAGTAAGGAGATGGGGCTTTTTGCTGGCTTGGGCTGGTCCCGGTGCAAGTGTAGGGTTGTTGCAGCCACACAACATCATTCTTATCCATGAGTCTGTCCTGGTGGAAGTGTCCCCCACTTCACAGGCAGCCTGCCTCCTGTGCCATGAAGTGGGTGGGCTTGGGATGCATTTAAGCACTGAGTGGCTGAATTGTGTGCTAAGAGGGCTGTTTGTCTGGGGGTTTGGACACTTAGAAAAAACACTGTGCCTGGAAACACTCATATAGGTAGAGAGGCCTTGCTCTCTTCTTCAGCCTCTCCCAGTTGACCCACACTTGTGTGTTGGAAACCATGCCATGAAGGCAGGTTGGTGGTGTGGAAGTGGACAAGGCATCCATGCTCCTCACAGCTTACTGGGACCTTGCAGCAGAGAAGAGATCCCTGTTTTGTCCAGTCACTGTCCTCAACAGAAACTAAGTCATCTAGGTGAAACCTGACCCGCTGAAGTTTTATTATGGAGTAATTAAATCAACAGCATGCAGATATCTGGAGAACCTACTGGGGAAGAGGCTGTGGTTTGGCATGGTCCAAGCCTGTCAGTTTGATCCTGCACCACATACCGTGTGGGGTATTTATCCTGTGGCTAGAAATACTGGATAGTGATCTGACTGGTGTGAGTTGTCACTTGTCTTTACAAACCGCTGACAGATAGATGGCCACATTAGTGTGGTGCTGAGCTTGTGTTAAATTATCCTTCCTCTCACCTTGAACTCAGCTTATCATTAACAACAACTACATGGCTTCCTCCTCAGAGATGGCTTACGGCCAGCCTGCTCAGAGTGGAGATGGGGATCATTTTTCAGTACAGCATCTAGGGATGCACTTCGAGTGGGGCAAAGCGCCCAAATGCAAGCTCATGTCTGGTTTCTGGGCTGTCACCCCTGACATTTTTCATATAGGTGTTTGATCTGCCCCCTCTGCTGTTTGTTTTAAAACACTTTTATACTCCAGGCCAGTTTTTTCCAGGAGGGTGCAGCAAATGCAGCTGTTGCTGCTCCTTGTTTTGTTTGTTTGTTGTTGTGTTTTCAAGACCCCAGTTTCTCCTTGGGCCATAACAGAAGGTGGCCAAGTATCTGTCATTGTGTCATCTGTGAGATCCCTCTGAGAACAGCTGATTCTCTGTTGCCCTACAACAATGGGAGCCACTGGGTGCTGGGCACATGGAAAATGGCCCACCCGTTTTTGCTTCTGCTTTGTTTACATCGGTTGGAAAAGAAGCATGAAGAGGGGAGGGGTAGCAGCCTTCTTGTGCAGTGGTGGGTTTGCTGCAACAGAAGACGTGAACTACACAGTAAGTGTACCTCGCTGCCCCATGGCCTTCAGTTACCTGAGTTGTTAAAGGAAGAGGGTAGTGCAGGCAGAAAGTTGAATTGCTCATTAATTGCTTTGTAATTTAGCTAATTGGTTTTGTCAAGGCTGTGGAATATAAGGGGTGGGGCTGGTTATCTTCCTGGTGTTTCATCTTTATGAGTGAAAATGACCTAACCCCTTTTTTTTTTATTTAATAAAACCAACATGCATAACACATGCTGTGGATGGATGTCAGACTGCTGAATATCTGCTTTCTTCAGCCCTTATGCCTGGCCTGTGGCCTCAGACTGTTTGTGGGCCACTGGGACCCTTTCTGAAGTGTAGCAGACATTTCTGGCATTCCTTCCTTTGCGGCGCACACTCCCAAAGTAGGGCTACCCAAAATCTCCTGTGTAAGAGGACCATCTCTGGATAAGTGCACTGTGAAAGCATGCAGAAGTGAGTTAAATGGAACGGTATTTTCCCTGCAGGGGAGAGCATAGTTACTCTGTTCAGAGAGGGCTGGGGAGGAAGGCCAGGCCTTTTGCTTGTGCTTTGTTTTTTTGTAGATAGGTAAACCCATGCTCTCTTTTTCCCTTGCAGGTAGTGGCCGCGGAAGCAGCACTTTGCTCCCTCATACCATCATCAATGAATTTCCAGAGTATGGCACTGTAGAGGCAAGCAGAGATGGGCTGAGGGCAGAGCCTGTAACACGCAGCCCAGAAAGCCAGGACGGTCACCACCAGGTACTTGGCAGGCCCCTTCCGCAGTGTGTGGCTCCTGCAGAGGATTCCAGACCTGATGCTGGGGCAGCACAGCTGTGTGCCTCAGAAGAAGATTTGCAACCTTCGGGTAACTTGCCAGAGATGATGAAAATCTCTCGATGGCTGGAAGCAACAAAGGTGCAAGAGAGAGCAAATACTACCCTTGATTTGGAGACGCAAATGGAAAAACAGAGCGTTACTGGCAGCCAAAATGTGCAGGCGGCCAGAGAACCAGTTCCAGCAGGCCAAGAAAAACCCTCAGACATGCCTCCTCCATCTGAAAGAACAGCTGAGGAAAAAATGCATTTGATTGTAGAGAAAGATCTGGCTGCAATATGGACTGGAGAAAAGCAGTCTGAGTCCTTGCAAGCCATCAGTAATAAAACTGAGGAGGTCCATGCAGCGCAGGAGACAAGCTGTCATAGACCATCTGTAACAAACCTAGAAGCAGCCGGCAGAGTGGAAGGGTGGGCGCGTTTTGAGGAGTTTTCAGCGTACAGTCAAGGCAAAATGCAAATGGGTCCTGAGAGGAGGCTCTCCAAAGAGGCAGCTGTGAGCAAACATGTAGAATTTCAAGGGGTGGAGATTTTATGGCTGCAAAAAACTGAGGAGCAGAGAAGAAAGAAGCACTCGCTGCTGGAGACAGTGTCCGTGGAGAGGAAGGCTTTCCCCAAAACCTCCATCCACCCTGTGCCACTGATGGTCTCCCCAGGCTTGGTCTCCTCACCAGACAGTGCTTGGAGCGAGGTCTGTGAGGACGCACGGCCAGGACCCGCTGCCCTTGGAGCCGTTCCTCGAGCGATGCTCAATGACAGCGGGCAGGATGAAGTTTTTGTGAAGGATAAGAAGAACCGCGGTGAGGAGGAGATGGCTGTGCTAGTGAGAGGCCAGGGCAGGTGAGATACTGCTTGTGGGGGCACAGGGGGCAGGCGTGATTTTTCTCGTTCCACATGCACGTGGCTTGTGCCTACCCCTTTAGGAGCAAATGGCAAACACCAGCTGTTCGTCTGCTGCCTGCGGCATGGTGGCAATGGTAGCTGTTCGTGCCTGGTGGTGGCTAGTGCATAAAGTTGGGACTGAACACCCTCCACACCACCTCGTGAAAGTTTGAAATCCACCTCATGTTTGGAAATGTGTCTTGCTGTTTGCAGAGTAATGGCTGCATGGCGAAGCATCTGTAGCAGGTTGCAGCTGGGACCTGGACAGGGCATGCAATTAAGTATAGGCAGCATGCAGGCCTGGCTGGCTGTGCCTGGCCAGATTTTCTGGTTTTGGGCAGAGTTTGTGCAAGAACAGCGTGAGCACCTCTGAGGCATCGGGTAGTAAAGATGTTTTACCCAAGGCCTTGTATGTTATAAGAGGGTAAATGCTGTGATGTGCTTTCTGTATTACCTAACTGTATAAGATTTTACCTATATATATATATATATATATATTGCAAAGCTTGTGTGCTGCTTTTTACGGGATCATCCTGGTGTGCTCACTTTTGTTTCCCCATGCACATCTATAACAAAGCAAACAGTCCCACCAGTGCAGTCTGAGCAGACTGTGCCTGCTCTGACCTGATGGGGTGTTTGCTGTTGAAACAACAGGATCTCAGCCAAAGGACAGGATCTCAGAGGCTCCTGCCTATACACCTCAGGATCTCTGGAGTTCTGCTTGTGTGTGGGATCACTTGAGCAGGTAGTCCTGACATCTGGCATGTGCCATGAGAAGCTCCACAGTATTTGGAACAGCAGAGAGGAGCACTTTCCACAGGGCCATGCTATACCTTCCCCTATGCTTCTGCAAGCAGGCTGAGTCTTCCCCCTTCAAATCTGTTTCTCTTGGCTCCAGGCTTTTGATTGCATTCACTTCCCTTTGCATTTTGGAGGGATTTCCTCCAGCCTTTCAAGGAAGATCCAAAGCCCTAGGACTGCAGAGCCAGCAAACTGACCTCTGACAGCAGCAAACTGACAGAGGCCCCATGTGATTGCACATCTCCTACTTGTGCAGCTGCTAGCATGGCAGTGGTGCTAGGGGAGGGATTTCTGAGTGCTCTTCTCCTTTGCACATAAGCAGCTGATGTTATCTGTTAGGCAATATTAGGCCTGTCCTCCTTTTTTCACAGAAGATTGTTTCAGTTTATGTCCCCAGAGAGGGAGATGGTGCCAGTCATAAGCAGAGGTGGTGCAAGTAGGAACTAGCGTTTTATCCTCATTGTGCTCTCGGCACAAAGCCACATTGACCTTTCTGTTCGCAAAGGTAGAAGGTAAGGAAGTTCACCCAGAGGTCTAAACCTCTCCCCCGAAGCTGAAATGAGCTGTTTCTGGTTCATTTCCAGGATGGTGGAGGAGGGGGAAGCAGCCACAGGAGGATATGAAGATGTCCTTGGGCAGAGGCACTTCGATGTCTCCACTGATCTGTACAGCTCACAGTTTGAAAACATCCTAGACAATGCATCTTTATACTACAGCGCAGAGTCGCTGGAGACATTGTATTCGGAGCCTGATAGCTACTTCAGCTTTGAGATGCCACTCACTCCCATGATCCAGCAGCGCATGAAGGAGGGTGGCCAGTTTCTAGATCGGACCTCAGCCTTGGGACAACCAGATGTCCTGCAGCTTCCCCCAGATGGAGAGGTGACGGGCTGTGGTGGAGGTGTCGCCAATGCCTTAAGGGATGGAAGTGAAACACTCTTCAGAGGAGACATCACGGAGATCCCTCATTTGGAAAGGTAAAAGCAGTGAGTGAGCTTTCTGTGTGCCTGCTGATTTTTCCCTGATGTCTATTTATTCAGTGGATAGTCACAGAGCATAGTTTTGCCTCTTTCAACACTGCATGTTTTCTACACAGAATAGTTTCCAGTGTAATAGAGTGAGCTGCGGGAGAGAAGTGATCTCTCCAAACCTGCTGTTCATCAGAAAAGTGCAAATTTACATTACGAATGTTTTGCAGGCAATACTTTTGTCAATAAAAGGCTGGCTGGTATTGGCGCATCCCTGGGACCTGTTCTGGTGGAGTTTCTGACTGGTTACATATCAGCGTTGTTCAGCTGCAGTTATACCTGAATATACTTACAGTAACTGTAGGAGCAATAACACCCTGTGCGCGTAGATGAGTTGTCCAAATGCAGTTTGTGATTGAATGTTAAAAGTGTCTCTGTGCATAGCTTTTCCTCTCCTGAGGTCAGTGGGTGTTGTCCTGCTTACTTCACCTGAGACAAGGTTTTGCTCCCACCACATTCATGGATTAGAGGCTGTAACCTGCTGCTTTCATTTGTGCACTGGTTACTCATTGAGAGGGGAGGGAGGGTTGCAAAAATGTCAATATTTTCTATTGGGTAAAGAAAGAGATAAGAAAACTATTTTAAGAGAAGAGTCATGTGAGAAGCAAAAACTAGGCTAAGTGGCCAGAAAATAATGTGTAGCTGCGAAAACTCAGTCTGTGAGCAAACGTTTTTCATCGTGTGTTGTCAAAGGCGGGGGAGAGTGAAAGGCAGTGACAGCAAAGTGGGGGCTCAAGCCAAAAGCAGTAGTCTACAGAGGGGTGAGGGACCTTGTGAGGGACAAAGATGCCTTGAGTCTCCATCCTCCAGGGACAGGAGGTTATCTGAGAGTCCTTAAATGGGACTAGTCATTCTGAGCTTTCCTGGGAGTCAGTGGTAGGAGGTCTTTTACCTGTTTTTACTCTTTTTGTGCTGGTGTGAAAGAAGCTCTTTGAGCAGAAGCAGTTTGGATAATTTTATGGATTAAGGTACAGTTTGACATTAAAAGAACAGGCAGAAGGACTTAGGAGTTTAGAATGTTTTTTTTCCATTAGTCCTACTGAATTTTGTTTAAATCCTGTACAACCCTGAGCTGTTCAGTGCCAATAGGCACTAAGTGACTGCTAGTCTGCAACAGCCTGGATGGAGCAGGAAACTCAGTTCAGTCCTGACACTTGCAGCTTCTTATACTGAAATCAGAGATTGGTGTGTGGAGGACAAGCAGCACATGCAGACCCTGGTTCTGTTACTATATGGTTGCAGCATCTAGTATCTAAAAAGTACTGTCTAAAAGGCCCACACCAACTCATCAAGAAACAAGTTATCATATAGGTGTGCTTATGTGATGCTTAGAGACACATTAGGTGCCTGCCTAGTATGTATTTCATTGGGAATTAAGTGAATTTTAGTTTAAATTTGCAGCCATGCAGATAAGCCAACAGAGGATTTAAGAATTCTCCTTTTTCTCCCTTTAATAAAAAATACAAAGAAGCATTTCCCACAGCAGGTTTGTTAGGAAGCTCTGGTGTTTTAGTCTGCAGGGAGCTGTTAGGGACAAGCCCCAAAACCTTGCTTTGCTAAGAAGTGTTCAAGGCAGGTTGGATGGGGCTTTGAGCAACCTTTGAACGTATCCCTGCCCGTGGCAGGGAGTTTGGAACTGGATGATCTTTAAGGTCTCTTCCAGTCCAAACAGTTCTATCATTCTACAATTCTTTGATTTTGTGATAAAGTGTAGCTGTAGCTGTACAGACAACCACAGATATGCCCAAAAGGGTAATTCTCTGGACTTTATACCTTATTAACCACCCCTCCACCATGATAATCTGATATCATGTAGTATTGCACCAGGATACAGGTGACCGGCAGAGCATGTGTGTTGTATTGTTGGAGCCAGTGATAATCACAGTGTTACAGTGTGTGGGTGAGAAGCAGTGAGCATGCTGGGGACTGCATGAGATTTATTGACAGAGGTGTGAAGACGGTGTGTTGCTGTGTTGCTCAGGTGAACCAGAAATAGCTGCCTGAGCTGTGGGTACTATTTTTAAGAGTTTGCATGTGTGGTTGTGTTGCCTGAAGCAATTCCAGACTTGTTTGAACCAAAAGTACACATGTATGATGACGTGCAGTAGCCACTGCAGCACCCTTGTACCTTCTGCTGCAAGTCCTTGTTTCCTATAGCACCATGAACCTGCAGTTGTGTTGGGGCTGTAGTTTCCTAATGTGTAGCACCTGCCTGGTGCTTCAGAGCATCAAGGGCCACCCACTGAAATGGTCCAGCTTTTTTGGAGACCAAGTAGGGAAGGCAAGCCCTGTGCCATGCCAGAGGCAGGCACTGCTACCAAGACCTGTGTCCTGCCACTGGTGGTAGGGGTCCACAGGCACCAGGGGCGGCAGCATCGCACCAGGGGCACCATCACGACTGCCACTATCGCCAGCAGCGGCAGCAGCAGGGGCGCCATCACCAGCAGCGGCAGCATCAGGGGCACCATCACCAGCAGCAGCAGCCGGTTGCCTGCCTGCGTTATCGCTCAGCGCCGCCGGAGGTCTCTGTACCCTGCGTGGAGCCGCCGTCTCTCTTTCAGCCAGGGGCGTCAGCGGCACCCCCTGCCCGCCCGGCGATGTGAAGCCGCTGGAAGGCAGGCGCAGGCAGGATTGCAGCTGGAGGACCCCACCCTGTAGGAATGGAGGCAGATGGGGGTCTCATCGTGTGAAAGTGGCAAGTCCAAAGCGCAGCAGAGGAATTTCGGGTGCCGGGAGTTCGAGAGCAAAGCAGCGCAACATTGCAGTGTGGCACCAGAAGTGTACCCCCGCTTTTACCTAAACTGGGCCTCCAACCCATGGGAACAAAAACCGAAAGCAAAACCTCGGCAGCTCCCTGCGCCGCGGTATTTCGGAGACATAAAAAACCCGTGGGAAAGTGCGTGGGGAGTGTGCTTCCAACTGCCGCGCTAATTTATGGGGGAACAGAGTGTGAAGTACTGGCAGTTCTTCACGGTCCGGTACAGAAGGGGAGGGCGGATGTGAGAGCAAAGAGTTAATGGATTACAGCTGGAGATCGGCAGCCGCGTGCCAAAGAGGGAAGGAGGAGCAGGTGCTCCCCTTGTCCGTGCCCTCCCGCTAGCGGGTAGCTGGGCATGGCAGCACCGTTGGCATCCTTCCCTCTGGAGGGATCCCGAGCGTAACTGACACGCGGACCCTAGGTGGCGTGAGGTCCTAATGCGAACCGGCAGGGAAACCTAGTCCCGTAGTGAAAAAGCGGTAGGGTAACATCCTTCTCCGCTCTTAGGAAATCGCTGGCTCTGGGAGGGGTCACCTCTGGTATGTGAAGGCCAGTCACATGCCTTCAGAACTGAAAAAAAAAAAAAAGGAGGAAGAAACAAAATAATAAAATGACTAGAGGCTGGCGGGCTGCAAGTTCGTATGGGCTCCTGGATGTCTGGAGGCTTCGTCCCTGCTGTTCTTCCCATCAGCTGCTGGCCGTGGCTAAACGCAGTAAGTCCTGGCGAGAGCCGTGCAACATGCCTGCTCTGACAGCCACCTGCCGTTGCTCTTCCCTGGGCTGTGGGGACGTCAGCAGCCCCCGTGTTTTCCTGCAGGACAGGTTGACTTGCTTTTGCAAGCAGTCCTTTCCTAGCACAGCTTTGGTGCCCTTTGTGTCTGGTCAGTGGAGGAGGGATGCTTGGGGGAGAAGGGTGTGCAGCTTGAATTCCTTTGGGAATGGTTCCAGCGCTTGGTGTCTTTTCGAAGGCTTAATCTCACTCCTAGATCTGTGATGATTATCCTTCTTGGAAAAAAACAGATTTCTGCAGCTGAAGGAGCCTTAAGTTTCCTCACATGGAGATGTGAGAACTGGGGTAGTGTCTGACGTTTCAGAGTTGAGAGACAGCCTGTGTATCAGGGCAGTGTGGGGTCCCCATGAAACATATTGAGCCACAGGTTGCCAGTGTAGCGAAGCTTTGCAGTGGCAATAAAGATGTTATATTTGGGCTGTGTTTGATCCCTGTGTTCCCACATTATCCCTGCAGTCCCCTCCATTGTACCTGTGCCCTAGGTGCTGCACTCCTCCCTTCTTGTGCCAGTAGATTGTGTTGAGATGGAGCAAAGCTCAGCCTTGGTAAATGGGAATTCAGTCTTAATCGCAGAGGCTATAAGGAAGACTCTTTGCGTGGTGCTACCCATACATTGAGCCTGATGCATCACCTGAACAGGATATAATAATTTACACCAAATCAGAGTGGGAGGAAGGGGATGTATTTCCAAAGGACTAAGATACACCTAGGAAGAGAGAATTATCTTTGCTATGTATACAGTGAGCATTAGAGCATCATTTTATCTAAAAGGGAAATATGAAGTTCTCTCAGTGATGATCTCCATCTTTCTTTTCTGCTTTCAAACTTTAAAGACAGAATTTTTTTTAATCTCTCTTTTTTTTTTTTTTCTGCATTCTTTATAGCAGACTTCTTGTTCTGTCTTCCCTTGTATGCTACACTCAGAACAAGAAAGTAAAAGAATACAGAAAAACTTCTGGCATTTGTTCCAAGTTCTCTTGGAAGATGTGGTCTCTGTTGGCAGGACATCACTCAAGATTTTCTAAATCCAGAGAGAAAAGACAAACTGTATTGCAGCTCCTAATCCTCAAAAATGCTAGATATTTGCCACCTGCCATCATCTTCAAAGAACTGATGGTGCTCAGCAAATTCTGCAAGTCCTGTTACTTTATTTTTCCTAGAGGTGCAAACACAAATTTAGCCATGTATGTATTCTTCTGTAATTCAAGGAGGAGGAGGAGGAAGAAAAACTGCCTAAGGGAACCTGGTGTTCTCCAAGTAAACGCACAAGAACGTGGACTGCAGTTCCCGATGGCTGCCAGGTTACTCCTAATAGTTTTGGCATCTCATAGTAGTTCCCATAGTTGTTTTCTTTCTTACAGATATAGGTCTTTTCTAGCAGTTTCTTCTTTGGCACTCTGC